TGTCCACTTCATATTTTTCTTTTCTATTCCGACTGGGAGACTCAGGTAGCAGAATCCATCGCAACCACTTTGCACTGTGACATCGTTAGCTCTGAGTTTTCTAAAGCAGTTAATACAATAAAGACACGTACTGTCAAATCCAGTTTGTAACAGAAGAGCCTTTGGCCTTTGCTGGGGAAGCTTTTTGCAGAGTGCCATGTGCTTCTGTCGCTGGTTCAGCTTGTCAGGACCGGAGCCCAGCAGAAACAGCCTGAGAGCCACTAATACCGTTCTCAGCATTGTCCCTGGGCTGCAGGATTACATCTTGCTGCTGAAAAGATCTATAGCCAACAAGCAGCCTGCCCCACTGCTCCCAACTCTTCAACTCGTGTTTGGCTGAACCCTTGTTAGCAGTGGTGAGATCTCCCTTCTTTGCACACCTCCCCCCATCTCCTACCCTGAAGCATTTTTAGTGCAGAGGAGGCTTTTAAGACTAGAGGGAGAACTGTCTCCAGCTCATTCAGCTGTAGTGTTTAGTATTGCAGCAGGAAATGAGGAAAAGAGAGGCAAGTATACCATGCACTCTGGCTTTGAGTATGCAGAGGAGGTGTGGCCAGTGCTAATCCTTCCAGCACAGGCTTGACTGTAAGCAAAATTAGACAGCATCTTCATCACATTAGCCTTGCTGGGGAAATGGTGTCCTCCAGGAGCTGAATCCTGCATTTTTGTGAAAGAAGTCAGTGCTTCAATTAGTTTATTCCCCACCTTGAGTCTTTGTGAGTAACAGTTACTGCCAGGCAGCACAGAAGCGGACAGGAATTGTTTCAGAGCAGGGTGGGATGGGGGTCAGTGCCTGTTTAGAAGGTTGAAACTGAGATCTCGGAGCACTGTGGGCACCTACGTGTGCAGTGATAAAACAACTCTGCAGCTTTACAGCTGCTTGCTGCCCCAGTGGTGAAATAGGAGGCAGGATGGCAGCCATGCCTTTCATTTTGGGCTTTTTTTTTGTTTGTTTTTTTACATTATTTTTGAATGAACTTTCAGATGTAATTATTTCCTTGGGGCTGATGGCAATGAAGTAAAATTAGCCTCTACCTGAAAAGGTTTAGGACGCGAAACCAGTAATTGAATCTAGCATTGCTGCCTGCACATCTCAAAGCTTTAAAGCCCTGAAAAGGGATTCAAGTGGAAGCGGTGACACAGAGCAGCATAAATAATCATCTTCGGTCCCTTTCACCTCTGAATTCTTTTTTTACAGCATCCAGAACATGGCGTGAAGAGGTTAATAAACACGCTGCTGCAAAGTGCTTACAAAATTAATGCAACTGCCACGGATAGGGGCTGCTTGGGGGTGGTGCACATTCCCTGTGCCTCGGAGCTGGCACAGAGAAATAAAGCGTAAATGTGGTCGTGGAGCTGCTTGACATCCTGATTTCAGGCCTTACTAATACGTAACTGAACGTCCAGATAAATGCCTTGTGTAGCTGTTAAGAGCCCTCCTGAACCATGCCTGGGCACACAGACACAGCTTTCTGCTCTTTGTGCAACTGGAAGGATTTCTCAGGGGTTGCAGGCAACTCAGCTGGTTTAATTGTTGGGGTTTTGCATTGACTGCGATTAAAAACAAACCCCAGATCTTCCTAAAACAGCACATTCTGCACATCTCTCATCAGATCCCGCTTCAAAAACAGGGTGTAAATGTTTTCTGTTCAAATCTATTTGCTTGCCTGCCACAAACACGTGGAGCGAAGCCCTCTGCCTTTTCAGTTCCAGCAGCTATCTCCATTCCCGGGTAAAGATGGTTTTTCTCTTTTAAAGAACAAAACGAAGCCTCTTCATCAGCCCTTGGTCCCCCTTCCCTCCCCCAGGAAAAGCCAACAAAAACCCCACGGCTGCCAACAGAATGAACTTTGTGGGCTCTGCAGCGCATCAGGATTTTAAATCGTTTGAAATGCTTCAAGGACACTTTAACCTTTTTTTTACCTTTTTTTTTCCCAGCAGCTTTTTTCTTTCCTTACGTACTGTATAGAAGGCTTGATCTCAAAGACAGAAATGCCTTCATTTGTGCTGAGCCTCAGCGTGAGATTTTGGGATGCTTCGCCTGGTATTAAAAGCACACAAGTGCTGAAAAACGCTTCTGTAACAAAACCCAACGGTTTTCATTTTGGGTTTTCAGTTGTCCCTCACTACCAATGGCTGACTCTCTTTAGCTTCAGCTCGCATACGGCTCAAGCAGAAAAGGAGCCATTTGTTGAGCAGCATTGCTTCTGCTGGGGCACGGATGCTGTGTGGATCTGCCCTCCTTGAGCGGAGGCTGTGCTGAGAGCGGCTGCGGCGCGGTGCCTTTCTGTGCTGAGGATGCATTGTTTCGTTGCTGTAGGGGCGCCTGGAGCCCCGCTAACTTGTTTGCTGTGCTGTTAATCCAAAAAATAAATGCTTGCTTTTGTTTGTTTGTAGGCATATGGCCCTGGGAGGCCCTACCTGCTGCCCCCACCCTCGGGAAGATACAGCTGGAATTAGCTCTGCTCTCCCAAGCCCGCAAAACGTCCGGGTTTCGGTTTTTGTTTTTATTAACCGGGGGAAGGAGGGGGAAGAAATGAAATTGTTCAGCAACCTCCCTGTAGATTTTAAACTCTGCTTGTTTTACATGTGTACATTTCTTACCGAACCCATTATGTTTTGCCGCTGCGAACCACGAGTTCACCCCGATCTGCAAAGCCGTGAGCCGAGGTGGGAGAGCTGTTTTGTCCTCATGGCATCCCCAGGCTGTGCCGCGCAGCGCCTGTCAATGCGAGCTGCAGCCACCCTCTACTTCACACACAAGAGCCTGAAAACAGACACGGAGTTGTAAAGAATGCATAGAAATCAGATTTGATGAACTCGGCGAGGACGCAGCGGGCAGCGCACCGGGGTTAAGGACGTGTCCAGCAGTGCTGCTCTGATGCTTCTTTGGATTTCTTATAGGGGAAAGCAGGAGACTTTTGGACTCTGAAGCAGAACGTTTCCACTTCTACAGCTTGTTGCCTGTTTTTTGACTTGGTTTTTGTAACACGAACAAGCACGGAAGCCGTACCAGTCTGTTTTGATATATAATTTAAAATAGCTGCCCTGTATGGAGTTTCCATTCATTTTTAGTACTCTTTCTAGGGGTTTTCCATGTGAGTGTACCAAATCAGTAAATATTTTTATTTGCTTTATAAAGTGGCTTTTGAAATTTGGAGCGCTACGCCGTGCTTTATTTCTCCCCTTTGTATTTCTGTATGCACACAGTGGATATTAATTACTGCAGCACTGGTTCCACACGGCCTCTACCCTAACATTTCAAAGCTTTATTTAACCAAAACCTGAGCCTGTTTCTGCTGCCTTGGAGCATCCAGGTAAAAGCTGCTGTAGCACCTCTTACTCGTGCTCCTGAGGTTTGCACACACAGCTGTGAGAGCCAGCATTGCTTCGGCCATCTCCTGTGAGTGTCTCTGTTTAGGCACACACCTTAATTGCCAGCAATGGGGAAAAAGCCTCCAGCCCTCTGACCCTGGAGGGTAAAACTGTGTTATTTTCAAGTGATGGAGATTGGTGTAATATCTTTCGTTGCAATGCAATTGCTGTCCTACCTGGGGTTGGCAAAAGCTGTCAGCGCTCCCCCGTGTCCTTCTCCCACTTCTGTAAAAATACACTGGTCTCCAAAAGTAATTTTTTGAGCAGAACAAAACCAGCAAGTTTGGGTTTTCGTGCAAGTGCAGTGGTGGGAGGGAGGCTGGTGGAAGGAGCTGCTGCTTGCCCTACTGACGCTGCTCCTGGGCAGCTGGCGCTGCCCACCTCGAGGTGCACCTCGAGGTGCAGGCGTGCCCTTGTCCCTCACTCATTTCTGGGGTAAGGGGAGGAAGCTTAGGGTGAAAGGGAGCTCCTTTGGGAGCAGCATCCCCCCTGCCCAGCTCTTTGCCCCCAAGGCTGGCAGCCACGCTTCTCAAAGCTGGCGTTCCCCCTCGGAGCCGGGCAGAGAGCGGCGTGGGAGTCCGCACGGGCACAGCATCCCCTTTGCTCCTGCGTGCTGCAGGGGAGCGGGAGTCCTAAATCAGTTCCACCCCCAAAACCGTTCCAACAGCAGAACAACCCCAGGTAGCGTCACGGAACGAAATCCCAGCGCAGTTTTGCAGGAGGGAGGCGGCGGCCGCGGGCACGGAGCGGGAAGGAAGCAGCGAGGGTTCAGAACAACGTTTGTCTTTATTGTTAAAAAAAAAAAAAAAAAAGGAGAAGAAGAAAGAAAGGAAAAGAGAACGGAGAAATAAATAAATAAATAGAAATCGAAGAAAGAAATAGAAAGAAATAGAAAGCGGGAGGAAAAAAAAAATGTAAACGGAAAAAAAAAAACCCAAAAAAAAAACGAAATGGAAAAGTAAAAGAAAAAAAAAACAAAAAAAAAATCAGGAGAAAAGGAGTAAAAATAAAGGGGAAACAAAGCAAACAAACAAGCGACAACAACAACAAAAAAAGAAAATGAGAAGAAGGAAGCGGCTCGCACACCGGGACCCGCGGCGCTCCCCGCCCGCCCGCCGTTCGCAGCCCCGAGGCGGCCCGGCGGGGGCTGCCCGCTGCCGTCGGGGGGCTTTCTGTCCATGCGCGAACGTTAATTTCGTAAGCCGTAATTCAGAACAACGAACGTGGCTCTTTTTCCCCCTGGAATGCGAGCGTCGAAGCCGACGAGCTCCTCCGGAAAGTCTCCGCGTCCTCTCGGCGCTGCCGGCGCTCCCCGTCCTGCGGAAGGCAGCGGCCGCTCCCGCCCGCACCGCTCGCCGCCTCCTCGACCTCCGGTTACAACTCAATTTCCCTCCAATCAACCGATAATGAAATCGCACTTCGGGGGCACCCTTCTAAAATTAATTCTGCCGGGCTAAGTTGCACTTCAGAAGGTTTATTGTTCGCGCTCAGCGGGGCCGCAAGGTACGCGCACGGCGGCTCTCGGGCTCCGCGGGACGGCGGGGCCGGGCTGGGTGCGGACACGCCGAGCCGCCCGCCCCGTCGGATTACCACGTCCTGCCGTAGAGCAGGTTGGGGCTGACCATGCCGCCGTTGTAATCGACGCCGGCCGAGTCCATGGGAGCCAGGGGGGGCACCTGGCCGTGCAGAGGCGGCGGGCTGGGCGCCAGCTCTTCCAGGTCCGCCGCCTGCCCCAGCGAGCCGGGGTGAGGGTGAGAGGTGGGCAGAGAGCCCCCGGGGCCGCTGGGGGCCGCGGGCTGCCCGGGGGCCGGGGTGCCGTTGCCCGGCGGCGGGCAGGGCTTGCCGTCCTTCACCAGCACGGGCACGGCGACGCGGCGGGGCGAGGGCTGCTGGCAGAGGCCGCCGGCGCCGTCGGGGTGCAGCTGCTGGGCGGCCGCCTTGTCCTTGGCCTGCCGCTTCATCTTGTAGCGGTGGTTCTGGAACCAGATCTTCACCTGGGTGGGCGTGAGGTGGATGAGGCTGGCCAGGTGCTCCCGCTCCGGCGCCGACAGGTACTTCTGCTGCTTGAAGCGCCGCTCCAGCTCGTAGACCTGCGCCTGCGAGAAGAGCACTCGCCTCTTCCTCCGCGGGGCCGCGTGCAGCGGCACGATGCCCTTGGCTCCCTCGCCGAGGCCGCTCAGGCCGCCCATCCCGGCCACGTTCATCCCCGCCGCCGGGCCCACGAACCTGGAGACTGAGCGGGACGCGCGGCTCAGAGCCGGGGCCGCCCCGTCGGAGCGCGGCCACCCCATCCCGCCGCCCGCCGCCCCTCGCCCCGCGCCCGCACTTACTGCCGGGGTAACGCGGGTCTCCGCCGGCCCCGTACCAGCCTCCGCCCGCCGCCGCGCCGCTCCTCATGCCGTCGGGGTAGGCGGGCAGCTCGCCCACGTTGCCCAGCCCGCCGCCGCAGTACCCCCCGACGGCGCCGTGCGGGAACTGGGAGACTCCGTGCGGCATGTGGTAGGCGGCCGCCCCGGCGGGGCCCGCCACGACGTGCTGCGGGACGGCGGCCGCTGCGGCGCCGGGCACCGCGGGCTGCCTGTAGGGCCCCAGCCCGGCCGCCCCGTCCATACCGCCGAACTTCTTGTAGCTCTCCTCCATGGGGCTGAGGATGTCGGTGACGGAGAAGGGCGTCGTGTGCTTGGGGCTCAGCGACATGGCGGGGCGGGCCGGGCCCTCCGCTCCCGCCGCCACCGGCGAGCCGTGCGCTGGCGGCTACCAGCCCCTGGGCGCTCGTAGCTCGCCGTTTCTTTTAGCCCGGCGCCAGCTTTACGCCAGACACCGAGGGGCGGAGCGACGGCCCGGAGGGGGACAGCGACGGCGGGCGGCCCCGTCCCCTCCCCGCCGCCGGGCAGCGCCCCCGCCTCCCGCCGCCGCCCGGCCCCGGCCCCCTCCTCCCGGCATTGTCCCGCGGCCGCCGACGGGCTCTTAAGCCCGGCCGCCCCGGGGCACGGCCGCAGCAGCTCTTCCGCGGCCCTCGCCCGTAAGTACCCGCGACCCGACGGCGCGGCCCTGACGGAAAACGCCTCTCCCGAAACCCGCGACGCTCCCGGCGTGGGCGCGGCGGGGACGGGGCCCGGGGGTCGCCGCTCCGTGGGGTCCGGGCCTGGCCGGGGGGAGTTTGGAAGGGCGATGGACGGCCGGGGATTTGGGATTTCGTTTGCTTTGCCACGACGAAATGCCCCTTCGGGGCTGCCGCTGCCTTCTGGCTGGGGCTGCGGAGACGTCGGGGAAACTGCGGCCGGGCTCTACTGCCCGCTCCGGGCAGCCCGACGGGGCGGCCATGTCCGCAAGTAGGGGCTGAGCTCTCGGCGTGTCCCCGCGCCGCTGCCACCCCTTCCCTGCATGAGGATGGGCTGCCGGGCACGGCACAACCGTACCGCAGCCCCTGGAAGTGCACCCAGGTGGCCGGTGCTGGATGCTGCGAGCTGCTCCCACACTGCAGGGTGGCCTGGGGGCCATGGGACCCTTCTCTTCTCTCCTCTTCTCTTCTCTCCTCTTCTCTCTTCTCCTCTTCTCT